TAGAACTGAACTAGAACTAGAACTGAACTAGAACTGAACTAGAACTGAACTAGAACTGAACTAGAACTGGTACAGGATTGCGTTTTCTTGCCAAAGCTAATGAAATCATATTCAGGGACAGTACATTATCATTTTTTGAATTATGGATTTGATTATGATGATCTATGATTATTTTTTATTCATTTTTGATAAGTTCTCCAAAAAATACGTAGTATTTTTCCCCTAAGATTCCATTCATATTTCCTGTTAACACAATTAAAATAATAATAAAAAAATCTTATAATAATGTACATTGCAAATACAAACGATGACCTTTACTAATAAAAAACCCTTTAAAAAATAAAAATTATCACTTCGGTAGGAAACATTTGTCGCAACAACTGATATCTTTGGGGACAAAATTATATTTACATTTTCCAATAAAAGCAAAATCGAAGCAAATAAAAAATAGACAATATAATTTTTTTATATATAAAACAACAACAAAAAATGAAATCCCTTATGTCGTCTAGTGATAAAGGTAGATAACCCATTTTTTTATAAAAAAAATAAACATTATTTTTAGTTTTTGCTGATACAAACAAAATAATAAAAATTTACACACACACAAATTCTAAAAAAGAAATGTTTTAAAGATGTATATACGATACAACATAGTATCCCTAGACAATAATGGTGTATGTATAGAAGAGCGTGTGTTTGTTTGACTCAGCTGTTGCCCATTGTACAATAAAACATGGGGAATCATAGATTGTAGTCCTTCAGTTTATTTTATTTTTATTCCTTTTTTTCCTATTTCTATTATTTATCTAGGTGTTATTTTGTTGAGTGGCTTTGTGTAAAAACCTTTTTGTAATTCTTATTATACTTTCCATGTTTTTTTTTTCTCATTCTTTTGTTGTTTTGTTCTATATTAAACATAAAGTATATACGACAAACAATAAAAAAAAATAAAAATAAAATACCAAACGACTACAGAGAAAAAAAGAGTAAAAGTCATAAGGTTAACAGCCACTTTTTAGATGAACTATCAAGTTATGTGTATGTGTGTACATTTTTAAACATAGACATGTTTAAACAAACTTACAATAGGTTCCCTGTTTTATTTATTTATTTTTTTTTGCCATTAAAGTCCTACTTTAAACTCACACATTCTCTGGCATTTACTTACAGTTCATTTGCTTCTGTTTAAAGTATTTGTCATTGTTTCCTTTTTTTATATTTTTGTAGTTGTTGTTTATTGTCTTTTATTTTTATGTTTTTTGTAGAAGTGCTATTCTACATATTTACTTGTTTATGCTCTTTTACCTTTCTTGTCCTTAAATTACAAGTCATGGTTAATGTCTTTTGTTTCAATAATGTTCAATAGACATTTCTTTGTTATTTGTCTTATGAAATAAAATTGAAGTACACAGACATGAACTTCCGTTTCAGGTTAAGAAGAAATTATTTTGAAACAATAAAAAACTGCTTAATACTTTATATGGGTTAAAGAAGATAATTAAAGTTGAAAGATTTTAAAGAAACTTTATTTAATGGATATTTTAAAATTATTTTCAGTTTTAACATAGAAAACACTGGGATTTGATCATGATGTTTGAAAATGCGGGGCCAGAAATGGCCCTTTTTGAGACATTATAATAGCGCCAAGACAATTTTTAATCCGGATTCGGATTCAGCTCAATTCTTTAGAAAAGTATACTTTGGTCTCTGGGTTAAAAATTTGTCGGCCTGTGTAATAAAAACATATGTATTTACAGTATATACTTACATATTAAGTAAGTACAATTTCTTAATCTCTGGCGTATGAGTGATATTTTTATGGAAAATAATTCGTAACAATCATACGCCATACAATCATTATCAATACGGTTGGTGACTGTTGTCAAAGACGGTGGTAATGATAATTTCCATTATTTCGGTAACAGTACTTTAACAGCTTAGCGGTAATGGTAACCACTTCTTATTTAGTAATTTTTTTATAAAATTTTATAAAAAATCCTTGTATTTTTTTTTTTTTTTCATTAGAATCTATTATTTCATTTACATGAATTCACTAACCAGTGTATAAATTTATTATGCTATTTTTAGCTCTATACTGAAACATTTTAAGCTCTATTAACTTAATATATCTGTACTCGCAAATGGTCTAATAAGTCACGTTAAGCTTCATATATTTGATGATGAAACATAAAAATGAGTGAGATACACATTAAATTTAATGTAAAATGCAATATTTTATCCATTGTACATAATAAAACATACATGGTATATTAGTTTTTATGCACCTGTCATAGTTGTTAAATAGTAACAAGTGTATAAATTTCATGCCACATGTTGCATATTAAAAACCATTACAAAAAGCAAATAGAAACAACAAAATAAAGGATAGAGAGAAACACTCATATAAATGGCCCACAAGAAAAAAACTAAATGTGCAGCAACAGCTCGTACAAATACATCACTTTATACTTTATATAAATTTACTTTGCAAGAGGCAAAAAGTTGAAAAAAAAGAATTAAATAAAAAGGGACCGTTAGAATACATATTTATAAAATATAAATTTCAAAATACATAAAAGCGTAACTGTTTAAAACTGACAATGACACACTTGTTGTTGTAAATTGCTCTATTTTATATGTAAATGTGTCAGTTCGTTGGAAGTAACAATGCAGAAATCATTGGCGTATGTATGTGCAAAGGAAAAATGCATTAAGTTGTGCTTGCTTGTCCTATTCTGTTATGTTGGAGTTGGAGTGAAGGCAATACATTATTTCAACAATCATGTACAGTGTATGAGTATTATATTAAATGACACGTAACTTCAAAATTACGTTTATTTTTTATAAATTTAAATTCCCTTTTACTTTGTCATCTTGTATATCTTTCGTTGATTTTTTACACACTTTTTGTAATTTTTGTATTGTTTCTAGTTTTTGTAATATTTGATGACAGTGAAAAAATTTATAAAAATTTATTATAAATTCCCTAATGCACAAAAATATTAGTAGTTTCATTTTGTATTTTATTTTTCGAATTTCATAATACATATTACAAAAAAACTATAGTTTTATATGCCTGGCAGCCCTATGTCAGCGTAATTGCATTTTCTTTCTATAGAACTTGTGAGTGCATTTGTGTTTTCTGTTTTTTATCATATGCATATGAATTTTCTTGAAAAGAAATTGTAAAAAACTTTTTGTATGTCATTCAACGTGTCATATGACATGAGCAATGTTAATAGACCGTATATTTTTTTTCTTTCTTGAAATGTGCAGCAATGTCTGTTAAGATAAAGAGAATTAGCATGGGTTTTTGCTTTAAGAAAATATAAAATGAAAATTGTTTCAATTACTACCATAATCGGCTAAGTCATTTTGCAAAAGGATTTTATATTATTATATATAAGATTTTTAAATTTACTTTTGATTCTTTCACACAAAAAAATGATGAAATAGAAATTTTTTATATATTCTTTAGAGATAGAGTAATATTTTTCATTACCTTTGTGTAATTAAGTAATCATTGTTTAAAGAAATAAATTCCTATGTTTCTGTGTAATAGTTTTCAACAAACATGCTGACGGACGGATACACACAAAAACAGACGGACATCGATAAATCGACTTCGATGTATGTATGTGCATGTATGTATATAGTCATGTATGTAGTACATATATATATAGGTATTCTACTCACCAAGATATGAGGTATAATTAAGAAAAACTATAAAATTAAAAGTAAGTTCGTTAATATCACACTTGGGGCTAATGATTACACAAAGTAATTCATTACATGGCCAATTAAGATTACTTGTAATTGAAGTTTTTCTAATTACAATTACTTGTAATGTGTAATTGACTAATAGCCAACTACATTTACTTGTAATTATAATTGAAGTATTGTTAATTACAATTACTTGTAATTGTAGTATATCAATTACTATTACTTGTAATTTTAATTGAAGTTTTGCAATTACAATTACTTGTAATTATAATTACAATAAGAAAATAAAAATAAGAATTACAATTACTTTTAATTGTAATTATAGTTTTATAATTACAATTACTTATAATTGTAGTTTTACAATTACAATTACTTGTAATTGTAGTTTTACAATTACTTGTAATTAGAATTTAGGTATTACTAATTACAAATATCAATTTATTAAAATGTAATTGTAATTGGTAAAGCTTCAATTACTTTAAATGTAATCATTACCCCCCAAGCCTGGATAATATGTATGCTCAATAGGAAAAATGTAATTTAAGCAATAATTGTCAATAATTTTGTAAATAATTTAATAACAATAATTAACCAACTATTATTATTATTATTGTTTTGTTATTAATTTAAATATATATTTAGCAAACAAATGTTTAAAATGTTAATTAACACTCTCATTATATTGTTAAACAAAGAAAATAGTTATTAATTAAATTGTACGATCATTCATAATAACATACTTAGCGCGTATCTAGTGAAAAAACAATTTAATAATAATTTTAGTCAATTGTTATTATTAATATTCAATGCACAAATGTGCAATTTAAATATGTGTGTTAATTAAAATAATAATTATTATTTAGACTTGGTTGATATTTTCAAATATTTTATTTAATCCCTATAAATACAATAATAATGAGAACGAGTATGATGTTTAAATTTATAATTCAATAAATAGACTTTTAATACAGCGACAAAAAAAAAAAAAAACACACACACACACACACACTTGTTTTATGAACCATATTTAATATTGCCAGCATAAACTAAATTAAGTCGTTTAAATGGAAATCACACTTAATTGAAATTGAGTATTTAAAATGGTGCAATAATAGTGATGAATTTTGGGCAATTTATTATTTCGAGTTTATTTTGAAAATTTTGTAGTATTTATTTAAACAATATTTAATTTAAATTAAATAACTAAAATTTTTATGAATATTCTTTAGAACTTAAAAATATTTATACTATTATATTTTATTGAATAGACTTACCTAAATTTTCCACTTGACAGGGTAAAACCAGGGTATCACCCACTACAGCACGATATGTATGACCACGCGAGAGAAAACGTGGCTGAGGCCCCGATAATGAACTTTGTGGTGCATTGCTCAGCGGCCGACTATTGGTAGCTGAAAATAGTTAAAATAAAAAAATGAAATTAGAAACTGGTTTTATATAATAATCTCTCAATATTACTAGTTTAACATCTGTTAATAAAAGGTTTATAATTTCTACCCAAGGTCAGCGATACTACTAAACTTTGACTAAGATACAGAATAACACATAGATTAATACCCATCAAAAAAGGTGTATAATTTCTTTATAAAACGTCGTACATAATAATAAACTTTTATCAATAACCCGCAAAAACATGGTAATGACATGTACTTACTCAAGAACGTACTTTTCAATGACTACTACATACCGCCTCCATTGTTGAAGGATTATAGTAATGACTTACAAATATCTATATACGCAAGTACTTAAGTTTTAGTTTGCCAATAGTGAGCTTACCACGTTTGTTAACATTTTGACAACGGATGTGTATAAAATTTAGATTTCGACAACGAATTGTTGCAATGTTGACAACGTTACGTTGTCAACATTTCATAGTGATGTCGTAGGAATGTATATACTTTGACAACGGATGTTATTGAAAAATTATAAACACTTTGGTGTCAATTTGGTACCAGGAGTGTATATTACTTTTTTCTTCTGTGTAGACATAGACGTAGGCTGGGTTTTACTGTTCTCACTAAGGGAATAAATTACACTTAAGTTTTGAAATTTCTATGAAATTTTCAAACTTAAGTATTTTTTTTTCCTTAATATGACTTATAAAACCGGACCTAAGCCCAAGACATAGCCTAAGATATTGACTAAAACATAAACAATTCGTAATATAAGCTTGTAATGAATATTTTACACTGCCTATCGTAAGGCTTTCAGAATAAATCTTTTCTTTAAAATTTGTCCAAAAGTAAGTGAAAAACTTTACCCTAATAAAACAAATTTTCCGTAAAATATTTTGCTATTGAATTTATTACTTAGAGTTTTTTCAATATATTTTTGGCGTATACTTTTTTAGCATACAAATTTGACCTTTCATTTTCTTTAAAGTGTCTGTTTGATGTAGGAAATGTTAATTTTTTTCTATTCGCAAAGATATTTTCATTCTTATAAATTACATTCTCTTTATTTTTTTTGCTCTTCTTTTTATCGCAAAGACTATAAGAAAAGGAAAATTCTTAAACCAAATAAATTTCTTTTTTATTATTTTCATTTAACTTTTTTTTTGTCTATTTAATATAACTGAAGTATAACAAAACAACAACAAAAAAGTTGCGTATCGATAGTAATTTGGTTACCATGACATTCAATTAGCATAAAAATGTCAAAAGAAAATAACTTTGTTTTTTAGCATTTTAATGAGAAATATTTTTGCTAAAAAGAAAACTCAAATATAAGATATTGCTATGTATGGGAATATTTAAATGCGTGTGCCGCCATTGTGTGGGTAGTATGAAATGAGCATTAATGTCCTTAAACTGTTTCAGTAAAGAAATGTTCATATGTGTGTATAGGAGAGAGTATCCCTAAAAGTTTTCTATACTTTTTAGAGGAAATTTTTTAAATCTAGTAAATTTTTTAAACATAATTTTTAATCTCTGAGTTTTTCTATAATAATGAACTTAAAAGGAAAACGATTGTTTACTTAAAAAGTCCTTGGTAATCTAATTAGTAGTCAATTTACTTTTTTATGTTTTTAAATAGAGTAAAGTAGTTATTTTAATAAAAAATATTTATTTTACCCCTTTGATTATATATCAATATAATATTAATAATATGTAATAATATAATATTTATAATATTAAATTCTTGCATTCATTCCGAACTGTTGGGTTTAATTTTCAATGAGTTTTTGGTGTAAGAAAAACAACTTAAGGCCTTAAAACAATAATTTGCCTACAAAAGTTCTTTTTGCAATTGTTCTTTAGTAATGAAACAAAAATATTTACGAAATAATTTTTTGTAAATTTCTGTCTCAATTATTGTTGGTTTGTTTACAAGTTTATGACACAAATTGGATAATCATATTCAACATCATTATCCAATTTATGCCATAAACTAGTCAACCAAAAGTAATATTTTCTAAATATTAAAATGTCTAGAAGAATTAATGTGTTAACACATTAAGTGTAATATTCCACACTGATTATTGCAAAAAAATCAACTAATCCTTAAAGTTTATTCAAAAGTAAGTGAATGTGAAAATCTGTTAAAATTTCTGGATTTAATATTTTCTTATTATTTACAAATTTCTTTTTATGAATTTTTAACTAGAATAATTTTAAATTAATTCCAAAAACCTCAAAACAAATATCTAGATTTTAAATGTGTTACAATCGTAAACGTTTTTAAGCTTAATATTTTTTTTTTTTTAAATCATTTATGTTTCTTTTTATTTGACCTATTTTTGCTAAAAACTTTTGCTTAAACCATAAAAAACCACCAAAAAAATATGTTGTAAAAATATGTAAATTAAAATACACACAAACCAAAAATATGAAAAAAAATAAATAATAAAAATTGTGGTGCAAGAAAAACGTTAGAACAATAAACCACTTTAACTATAAACCATGACTAAGAGACTATGACACACACAACAAAATAGGGAAACACTACATACATATATATTTTTTTATTTCTTGTTCTTCTTCTTCTTGCCAGCAAGGACATTTTACAAACGTAAGTGGAGCATCAAATACTAAACAAAATGATAATGGTTAACAAAACAGCTAAAAATGCATTTTTATATGTATGTATGTTTTTTTCTGAGTTCTTTGAATATTCAGCGAAATTTTTAGTGGATTTTAGAAATACATAAATAAAAAGATGAAAAATAAATTTTGGTCCAGTAACCTAAACTTTAGTTTTATAGTTTTTTTCGCAATAGTTTATCAATTTTTACAAGGTTTTTATGTTTTTTTTTTTATATTTATCTTTGGGTTTTTCATAAACCATGAAAAAAGTATTTTAAAAAGTTTTAGTTGCATAAAATTGTGATTTCTTTCACATATCATCATTTTCAAATAGAAACTATACATATTTTCTTTTAAAAATTATCATAACAAAAATTTTAAAATGTTTTTTTTTTTATAGAAAATATTTTGAGTGTTTTTATGCTAAAATATTAAACACAAACTTAAAATTCTAACGTGCACCTTTGAATATTCTATACATACTAAACGCACACTTTGGCTATAAAATACACTTAAGTACTCTCATACTTAGATACAGCAAGAGGCCACCAGCTCAAGAGGGTGTAAATTGGTTACAAATAATCAGGATCATACTATGGAGAACGGAAGAAGATAACATAACAGCAGTACTTTACACATTGCATGCACGCACACAAATGTTTTTAACATGAACCAGGCATGGACATTTGGATTAAAAAAATAAATTTAGATTGTTTTTTTTTTTTTTTAATAAAATTTTTATAATTTTAAAGTTTTTTTAAATGAAATTTTGATATTGTTTAAACTTGATAAACTTTTGGGAATTATTCACGATTTTGCATTCCAAGTTCTAAAAAACTGTGAACTAGTCTATGGATTAGTGGACTAAATATTTGTGAATCGATTTATAACTAAATTTGAGGCCATTGAGGCCTAGGGGACGAATCTTGGAGAGCGTCGGATCATTCTTCGTATGCTCTCCTTGATCAACTTTTGGTACTAAGGAAACTGGCTTGGTAGCGGACTGAATCCGAGCAGCCTCATCCGTACCTCAATAGGATTTGATCCAGTCTGGACCTTAGGGGCCTTTGAGATATTAGTCGATTTGGTTTATAGCTCTCTAGTAGCAGGTCGTTTGTACAGCCTGGCGCTTCCACTCCACTAGACGAGGCTTCAATAGCGGGCAACATACTTCAGCCTGACGCTCGAGTAGTCAGCCGACGCTCGAGTAGTCGGGTCTCCGGAGATTATTAAGCCCTTTTCCGAATACGCATGATTTCTTTTTGGACATTACGGATAAGAAATGGGTCTCATTTTATGCCTACTATCAGACATAAGAAACAACCGTTTCACTAGAGACAGACGCAGACCAACAGCCTCTCAATGTAAGGATTCTATGGATTTGAGGATTTGAATTTCTACATCTGACCAATTAAGGTCAATTGACGCATACTCTAGATACTTGAGAAGTGGATGTAGAGAATGGGGGGTTGTTTGCTAGCCGCTCCAAATAGGGCAAACAGACGCTAGTAAACGGGGATAGGTGGTTCATGGTTGAAATCAGTTTAGATTCTACTGACATGGGAGGCCCTACCGATTATGACAAACGTCACAAGTGTGACTCTAAAGTCTTCGTACTCACTTATTAAACACATTAAAGTTGTTGTTCTTTTTTCGTATATATGTTAAAATTAACATATCCATAACAGGCTTCGTTTTTTACCAATAGTCATTTTAAAGAACTCATTTATTGAACACTGGTAATATTTTCTATCGTCTGTAGGGTTTAAAATGTCGTCTTTTATGTATGACTTCCATTATTGGGGGAATTTGACGACATTGCAATTTTTAGCTTACCCTGGGAATACAAAATCTATGTGGCTATAAATATTACAAAATAAACATTAAATTTGTTGTTGTTTTTTCTGGTTTCTTAGTTCCTTACACCCGGGCTTTTAGCAAGTGAAATTTTATACTTCTGGTTTTAAGATTTTGTTGTTGTTGAAAAGCATTATTTGGTTATAAATTTATATTTATGATGTATTAAATTTAAATATTTTCACAGGAATGAAAGTGTTTATAGAATCACATATACATACAGTAGAGTGGCGCCCAAAAATATTGGGCGATGTTTCCAATTAAGGCTTTCTAGATGACTGTAATTTAATAAAAACTAATATTTAGAACAGATTGTGATTTTATATAACCGAAACCTCCTTAATATACAGATTGTATTCTTAAATTTTTTTATATGTACATTTTGTTTTACTTTTCTGAAATATTATACGGTTTTTCATTAAGTGCGATTCATTTTGTTTTCTGTTATAAGCTTTTTGGAATAGACCAGCTAATGTAACTCCAAAAGGGGAAACTTAATTTTTTTGACA